GATTGCCGCAATTTTCTACATTTCTAGATATTTTGAGTAAACTAAACTCACCTAATCCAAACTACCTAGGCCAATTCCACATATCTTTCACCTAGGTCCCCCAGCAGTGGCCACTTCATGTCCCACAAAGAGCATCTCGTTGGATTCCGGCTGTGAGGCTTGCCTCAGAGCCACGGCAAAAGCCACGGGAGGACAAAAACAAAGTGGGCGATATGACTGGTTTCCGAAATACAGTGATATATATATATATGTATGTATTTATATACGTATATAGTATATAAAAGTTGGGGATATGAGTGGTTTCGGGCATGTGAGGCGATTTTTTCGCAAAATGATCACTTTAACTATGTTTCTACACTATATGGAGGTTTCCCAAGTCATGGGGCTATCCCTAAAATCATCCAGTGGTCATGTATGACTATGGCTTAGTATTGAAACAACTACGGTGACTTGGGGATCCCCCATTTGAAGAAACCCCGGTATGAGTCGATGTTCTCAAAATCATGCAATTTCTTACTGTCATTTTACTGTCATTCTTAATCGGGAAACGTACGGGTTTTTGGGTCCCATTCAAGGAAACCGCGACAACAGAAGTTGGGATATATATATAATGTCATAATATTATAAGTTATATCATTATAGAATTAGGTATATTTTATTTATATATATATATATAGAAAAATAAAAAATATTGTGTATATATATATTTATATATATTGAACAAAAATGACGGCGCAACCAAACAAAATTGTGATGCCAGCAGCATTTCAACGTGGAAAACAAACGATTTCACCAGCCATAACTTGGAATCTAAGCAACCAACAATTGAGATACGATCAGCTTTTTGAATTGGATTTTACAGTCCCTTCTAGGTGCCGAAAAATATCCAAGAGTGAGGCGGTCAGCAGCAACAATGGGGGGTGTCACCAGCAACTGTGAAACTAAACCAAAAGTGAGAACCTCCTTTATTTGCTTCAAGGGAAACTCCACAGGAAACCATGGGCTGGTTGATCCACTTCGCCATCCTATCTTGATCCCACTGGCTGGTAATTGTGGATACAGTAGTTATGCTATAGTTCGGCCAAAAGTCCAGGGTCCGCCAAGAACCCAGAACCAATCAGCACTCCCTCCGATTCCTTCTGAAGTGAGTTACTGTATCCCCAAAAAGATAGAAAAGGAATCCCTATTGACATGGTGATTCTCTTGGAGGATGATAAAATATTATGTTGGTCTATCTCAGTGCCCAGTTTGGGACAGCCTCCGGCAGCATGCCCCCCTTGGCACCTCATCAACCTGAAGCAATCCATAAATGAGCCTTGGTGCCAGTGATTCCCCAGACATTTCAGGGAGGCGAACTGAACGGAATCGGCGACAAATCCAAGAAGACAAGTCCTTTCCAAGCCAAGTTGGGTAGGTAATGCTCCTGGATGGATGAATTTTTAGAGTTTATTCAGGCATTGTTCCGACCATTTGGACCAGAAAATTGGAGATTTCCAGAACGATTTCCTGCCGATGCGAAGCAAAGTGACCCCCTGGTTGGGATCGTCACAACCTCAGTGCAGCGCAGAAATTGCACTGAATCCCACGTCCGGTCACGGGCATGATCTGGGCGAGGTGAGGTGGTGGGGGGATGGAAATCTACGACGTTCACCTGGTTTGGTTAAAGGGAAAATCTACAGAAAACCATAGTTTTTCCCATTAAATATAGGTCTCCTTGCAATTTTTCCCTTCAACCAATCCAATAAGACTTTGGACTGCGGATGAATCTATACCTAGAACCAAAAACGTCTAAAGACAGGCCATACTCCAAACCATCAGTTTTCACCGAGGAAGGTAAGTCTATCCTTTGGGGGAGCTACCCTTTTCTTGGCATCGCCATCAAGGCGTCCCCCCCCGCAGAAAGCCATCCTTTTCTCAACTGCTGCGCCCTGTACAATCTTGGCAGGAGCGAGATCGTGCGTCTTGAACGACTTGTCTTCTGCTCCATGTGTTTTTAGAGTTACAGGGCCCCCTGTGACGACCTTGTTTCAGTCTTCAAAGGGGCTTTTTCGCCTCTCCGTTGATGATTGGTAGCCCTACTTTAAGAAACCTCCATTTATCTTAAACACCGGATTCTTTTTCAGTAGGGCTACCAATCATCCACCATCCAGGTAGGGTTACCAATCACGCCTCCGTGCGCGTTTTCAAATTCAAAGATCATCCACCATCCAGGCAGATTGTCGCCTTGAAAAAATCGCCTTTCGGATCATCTCGGCACAGACCTTTTATCGCCAGGTAGATACCCAAGGACCAAGGATTGGCAAAGGTACCCTCTGGTAATTTAACATAGCTATGGAAAATGGCAATTTATAGTGGATTTTCCCATTAAAAATGGTGATTTTCCATAGTTATGTTAGTTTACCAGAGGGTATAGTATACTGTTATAAGGGACGACCTGCTCCTATAATCCGCCATCTTCCAGTCTCGGAAACATCTCAAATCATTTGAACAACTGCAGCAAAAGACACGTTTTTTGTTCCCATGGTTTTCACGGCTGAAATCCCATGATCATTGATCAACATCCCATGGCTGGCAAAATCAACACAGCTGTTGATGACTTCAATCACCAGATGTTCCGAAGTCAAAATCCACTTTGATATATCCCAAGGATATGAATCTCAATGTCTTAAGCTCCACTTCTTTCCGATTCTTTCTGCATAAAAATCCCCACATTCCAAGCATTTCAAACAACCTCCAGCCTCCGGGAGTTGGCTGGCCACGCGCAGCCCGGACAGGTGACAGCCGTGATCCAAGAGCTGCGGCTGGAGCTCGAGCGTCCAATGGAAGCTCTGGCCATCCTTGTGGCCACGAAATGGTAAATGGGTGGATAAAACCATGGTGGTAAATGGCTGATGATTTCGGAATTGTAGTTGGATAGCAGTATAATATGGTATCAATGGTTGGTAGGTATAATATGGTATTATATGGTATAATATGGTACCCTATATGGTTGGTATCAAAGCATTGGCAATCATTGGTTGGTATAATGTGGTACCCTCCCGTAAACCACCAGTTCGATGTGGAAAGAATCACACCATTTAAGTAGATCAGTTTCCAAGGGAGTTTTCCACGGGTTTTCCACATCTATGTTAGTTTAAGCCAGGGTAAATGGAATATCTTGGGATTCTTGGAATAAACCGGATTAGGGATTATATCTAGTGATTCCATCGTAAATGGATGTAAATGGAATATCATGGGGGTATATGGATGTGGGTCAAAATGGAAGACCTAGGGGACCACAGATGGAAATGTCTAGTTTAGTATTAACCATCCAATTATTGGGGTACCTAATTTTGACTCATACCCATATAACCATAATGCAATAATGAAGTATGGCTAAATTGTACTGATCATTTCCAGTGACATTGTGGTGACGTCGTTTTGGTGCCTACATTGGGCGGGGTTTGACAGTCAATCTTGCAGGATTGAAGGTCAACCCGAACATGAAAAGGGACGCTGGAAAATGATGACATTCCATGTGATTCAGCTCTCCATTGGATCAAAGATCGTATGAAGAATGATACAGTAACCAACTGGAGGGAAACTGAAATAACCATCAACAACCTCCTGCAAAACCTCGTCAAAAAATGTCAACAATATGTTGTTTTTTTTGGTGCAATCCAACAAACAACAGTCATTTTAATGTGGGCGACCTGTTAATAAAACTAACATACCACCCATAAAGTTCTTATTTGGGGGATGGTAAACATGGCATTGGGTGGATCCCACATTAATTTGTTTTTCAAAAACAAAATGGAAAACCTCCGTTTTTTCCCGTCCCGTCCCAGTCCTTGTCAAGCTCATCTTCAAAATCAGCACTCAGGATGAACATTCGATAGGACCTGAAAGGAGCTAAAGTGAAGGTCTGCCCCGTTATTCTGCAAACCACGGCTTCGAACTAGCACAAAACGATAAGATGATATCCTGACAATTTAAAACTGATGATAAGCAATATAATTCATATATACAGTATATACATATACATATATATAGTTAGCCTAAGGCAATCCCGTCTTTTCTATCTAACCGCCCACTTACTATACCAACAAATTTGGGGGATAATCATGAAAGACGGGAGCCCCATAAACGAATTAACAAAACCAAAACAGCATACCAACAAACAATCATACAAAGATATTCAACATAAAACCTAACAACAAACAACAAAACAAAAAACTCAAACAACCTAAACAATACAATAGATTATAAAATAGACTATACCAAAAACCATAACAACAAACCAAAACAAAAGACAATTTCACTTTTATAAAATGAAATTTAACTATCATTCTTCTTCAAATTCTCCTCATGCTTCAAAGTGTTTGTGTGCCTCTTGTAATTTTGAGCTTGAATTTCATAATCATCACTTCAAATTTATGGGGATAACCAACATAATTTTCATCATCATTTATCATGAAGATTATGGGATTAATTACCACAGTCTCTCCCTATAGGGGAAGCCTCAGCCCCCAGCCAACATACTATCCCACCCCCCAGCATACATACCAGCATACATACAAACTAGCATATCACAACAGCATCACATCTTTCTCAATCTCAAATCTCTTTATTTACCGCAATTACCATGCCCAAACGGCCCTTCATGAACTTGTTGATAACCATGTCTTCTTAACCTCAGCGCGATGTAGATGGCACAGCAATCCAAACTTTTGGGGCGAAATGGAGTGAAAAAGATTTGTGTTTTGTGCCTTGTTGGTGCCAGAATGTCAAGCTTTTGAAGGCTCACTGGCATCAATGCTCTATTGAAGCAATGTCCTATTCCTACCTGACACCCTGAAACCTTGCTACCTACAGACCTTGTCAATCATAAAAGCATCAGCCAAGAGCCCTGTTTTGCAAGTCGCCCTGGTGGCGAAGCAAGCACTGTTTTGCAAGTCGCCCTGTTGGCGAAGCAAGCCTTCTCAAGACGTGAACCATCATCATGCCCATCATGGGAAGACCCGCTTCTCAGTCTCCTCGAGGTTCTCCGACCGAGGGAGGAAGGGCGCTCCACTCTTCTCAGTCTCACTTGGGAGGCCGCGCCCGATGATGATGCCGCTCTTCTCAGTCTCCTCGAGGTTCTCCGACCGAGGGAGGAAGGGCGCTCCACTCTTCTCAGTCTCACTTGGGAGGCCGCGGCCGATGATGATGCCGCTCTTCTCAGTCTCCTCGAGGTTCTCCGACCGAGGGAGGAAGGGCGCTCCACTCTTCTCAGTCTCACTTGGGAGGCCGCGATGAGATTGCAGCAACCGCTCTTCTCAGTCTCCTCGAGGTTCTCCGACCGAGGGAGGAAGGGCGCTCCACTCTTCTCAGTCTCACGTGGGAGGGCAGGCCCCGCGGCCGATGATGATGCCTCTCTTCTCAGTTCCTCGGTTTCTCGACCGAGGAGGAAGGGCCTCCACCTTCTCAGTCTCCTTGGAGGCCGCGGATGCTGATTTCACACATTTCATCACCGCTCTTCTCAGTCTCCTCGAGGTTCTCCGACCGAGGGAGGAAGGGCGCTCCACTCTTCTCAGTCTCACTTGGGAGGCCGCGGATGATGATGTCACCGCTCTTCTCAGTCTCCTCGAGGTTCTCCGACCGAGGGAGGAAGGGCGCTCCACTCTTCTCAGTCTCACTTGGGGGGCCGCGGCCGATGATGATGCCGCTCTTCTCAGTCTCCTCGAGGTTCTCCGACCGAGGGAGGAAGGGCGCTCCACTCTTCTCAGTCTCACTTGGGAGGCCGCGGATGATGATTTCACCGCTCTTCTCAGTCTCCTCGAGGTTCTCCGACCGAGGGAGGAAGGGCGCTCCACTCTTCTCAGTCTCACTTGGGAGGCCGCGGCTGATGATGATGCCGCTCTTCTCAGTCTCCTCGAGGTTCTCCGACCGAGGGAGGAAGGGCGCTCCACTCTTCTCAGTCTCACTTGGGAGGCCGCGGTCGATGATGATGCCGCTCTTCTCAGTCTCCTTGCCGGAGTTCTCCTCTGCCATGACGTTGTTGCAGCTCACGCACAATGCAAGGATGAGGCAAGCGAATACACCAGATTTGAGCGCCATGGCAATGCCGACACCCCTGAGCTAAAAAGCGTCCCTGAGTGGCTTGAGGAAAAACTCGCAAAAACGCTACGGAAGAACATAAAGATGCTGAAGAATGACACAAAATTCCAAGCGCAAACTGAAAGAGCTAATTTCTGTAGCTTTCCAACTGAGAATGTCAAAGATGCTCAAATTGAAACAAATTCCAAGGTCAAGCTCTCCAAGAATATGTGGCTTCAAACCTCCAACTGACATTCTCAACAGCTGAGCGCCCCGACAACAGGATGAAGAAGAGATTGATGACGAAGCCATGGCGGGGCAGAAGGGCAAAGGAACATAGAGCAATCCCAGCCAATGACCCAAACGTGCCGAACACAAATTCGTGGGGAAAACAAATGAAGGGCAAAACACAAAACCCCGAAACCAAAAGAGCACATAAAATCAACCATCTGATGGGAAAAAATGCTTACAAAGCTTTCTAAAAACACTAAATCTTTAAAAGTTCGTGCCTCATCAACAATCTTGGGTAATCAGTTAATTTGTAATATTGTTGGTTCAACTTTTCTGCAATCTCTTGCGCAACATAATAACCTTTCAGCCAGTGGGAAGTTCTTTCTTTCTCTGTAATTGCTTTCTTTCTCATTATCTTTACTTTGTCTCCCACCTCTAATGTTGGATACATCCTTTCCTTCTTTGCCTTTGATGCTACATTCAGCATTGCTCTGAATTCATTTTTATCTTTCCTTGCCTCTTTTGGTGTCATACCTGTAGCGGAGTGTTTCATTTTATCATTGTATGTCAGCATAATTTCTAAATTGTAATCAACCCATTTGATATGTTCTCTTCCTTTCTTTTCATCTGCTTCAACTTTTTTAAAAAGCATATCTTTGTAGGTGCGTATAAATCTTTCAGCAAAAGCAGGATGACCCCTTGTCCTATACAACTCAATATTCTCACCTTCAATATAGTCTTTAAAATCACCTCCTGCTATTGCTTTTTCATCATCACTGTATATGATTTTTGGTTTCTTTCCCATTTTTTTTAATGCCTCTTTAGTTGCCTCAATAACATCAGGTTCATTCTTGCTTACAATTGGAATTACTACGGCATACTTGCTTAAAACATCAATACAAACCAATCCTCCTCTCTATTTTTGTAGGTGCTACATCATAATACCCCATAAAATATCAAATACCCCATAAAAAACAAATCAATTTGATAAGTATGATTGTTATGAGGTGCTACAAAGGAATTATGCCCTCTTGGCTTTGCTTTTATCTCAACATTTTTCCTAAAGAATTGTTCAACATCCTCTTTCTTGATTGTAGGTTCTTTCTTTTTAGCATCTTCTAATGTGGTCTTTCTTGAACCATAGCCACTTCTATCAAAATAAATATCACGAATAATTTGTTGTTTCTTACTTTCACTCATTATAGAATAGATGATATAATAAATATTAAAATTATATCATTTATTCTTCATTTTGTTTATTTAACCAGTCTTGGTGCTTTTGTCATTTCTCGTGTCTTTTTTTGTGTTGAAATGTGTAATATTTGCCACAACCACACAAATGTTTTTCCAGCAAGATGTGTTTTCTTTCTTGAAACCGTCTTCTATGATATTCCTGTTCTTCTTCTTTACGAAGTTTTGTAAAGGTCATTTCTGAACCTACAATATTCATTTTCATCTTGGTAATATTCTGCTGGTGTTCTACACGGCACACATTTATTGATACAGTCATTGTTTTTGATATAGTAGCCCTCCCTCCGTCTTAACTCTTCCTTGCTATTACAAGGGTAGTTTTCTACTAATTCAATTTTACAATTCTCTATACCGAATTCATCAAACAAATCAAAAGAACGTGTATTTGTAATATTACCTTTCAAGTATGCTGTGTATTTGGCTCTATGTCTTGTCATTCTTTGGCTCAAACTTTCGCAAGTAGAACCATAATAGGTTTTATTATATCCTACATCTACTATTTTATAAATCTGCTCATATCCCTACTTATCTTAACTTATCTTTTCTTTAAGACCATTTTACACTAATATCTTATTTGAAAAAGCGCAATTACAAGACACACAATAACCTCTACAATTATCTTTAAAGTGAGCTTCACAACAATTAACCCTTTGGCAGGTAATGTTTGACACAATCCTGCCTTCTTCAAAATCTATCACCAACGGTTCATTACAATTCTCACACCGGGTATTCATCAGGTTCATCAAAAAATCTACATCATCATTTCCTTCTACATCTCTACCTGCTTTCTTGTCTTGCTCAATGTAATTTAAAACCTTTCTCTCAAAATACTGCTCTACTATCCTTTTAGATTTACTTTCTTCACCTTCATTATATTTGAAAAACTTAATTTTGTTGAAGTCTGTAGCCCTTGTGAGGGCTGTAAAAAAACAATTCTTAATAACATACCATTCATTCCAATCATATATCACTATATCACCATCAACACTACAGCCCTGCTTTGAATGAGCGGTGTAGCAGTAAGCATAAATAAAATGCTTTCTCAATAGTTTCAGTTCTATATTTTGCTTCTCACCAGTTGCCACATTTTGTAAAACAACAATATCGCCAACAATATTCACAATCCTAAATCTAAAATTGACATTAAATTTCTTCCCTTTAGTCTTCATATATTTTCGGCAT